TGAGCATAACCAATGGACACAGATGGGAAGGGGGTGTGAGGGCATGAGCTGGGGGGTGGAGGTGGCCAGGGAGAGGTCAATGGGTGACAGAGGGGACTTATGTAAGACTTTAAACAATAAAGAATTTAAATAAAAAAAAACTTTAATGGTACTTTGGAAAGGAACACAGTACTCAACATCCAATCCTACCAAGAGATAAATAACCAATATTGGATTCTTTCCAGCTACCCAAAAGTCAGGACAGAGTGTAAATACTGGACACTAAGGTGTGAATGGGGCCTCTGACAGGAAGGCAAATGACTCACAACAGGAGAGGTGCTTATGAAAGCAATTGTCATAGCTTTTCTCTGCTAGTGGGATGTGAGAAGATGATGGTGAAGAATCAACGTTTCACTCAGCATCTGTCATACTTACAGTCAGAAACTTAAATCCAAGTACGGAGACCATTCCTGCGATGCTCCCGATGATCATAGAAACGTATGGGTGGATCGCCATGTCCGCACAGGTGCCCACAGCAACGCCTCCAGCCAGGGTTGCATTCTGAATGTGTACCTGTAGGGAGCCCAGAAACATGAGTGAAGTGAGCTGAACAGGCAATGTTCAGGACTGAATGAATGGGGGACTCAGGGACCCCAGGGCACAATATTCAGTTGAAAAGACTATGAATTATTTTTAAATGAGTTTTTTTAAATATATAATTACAGAAAGCCTTTCTTCCAAGCAGTTCACATGGTATCTTTCTTGCCAGAGTTTCTTGGGAGTGTATGAGTGATCAGAGACCAGTGTGGGGAGGAATGTGGGGAAATAAAGAACGTGTAGTGGAAGGGTGAGGAGTGAGCAAAGCAATCATTCTATCCAGGTTTTGCCTGTTGGTGCTGTTTGGGAACACTTTCATGGTTGTCATGAGCCAACAGAGGCCTGTGGCTGTTGTGTTTTTTCTGAGTCTCTGCTATTCCAGTATTCGAAGAGGAAATATAGAGACATTTAAAGGCACGCATTCCACATGTAAGACAACAGCTTCCAAGTGTCATTGTGCAGAGGACATTTGAGGATGGAGGAGAGTCGCCCATTTCTGTTTACCAGAATTCCTCAGGAAAATCTTATTCTTGCTGCCTGGACGAGGAGGAAGGTCCGCAGTACTTTTGAAAGAACCAGCCCAGCCACTGTGGGTTAGTGTTTGAGCATTGACCCAGGAACCAGGAGGTCACATTTCATTCCAGGTCAGGGCACCTGCCCAGTTTGTGGGCTTGATCCCCACTAGGGGGCATGCAGGAGGCAGCCCATTGATGATTCTCTCTGATCATTGATGTTTCTATCTCTCCCTCTCCTTTCCTCTCTGAAATCAATAAAAACATATTTTAAAAAAGAGACCCCCTTGCAATAATCTCCCCCCCCCAATTTTCCTTCATGAAGCAATTTGTAGAGCATTGCTTGATAAAGGGACAATATTCTTTTCCTCCCTCCAGTTGGAAAAGCTTCAATATGGTTTCCTAAAAGTGACACCTGATGGCTTATGATACCACTTCCATGCTCCTGGGTTTCATTTATAGCCATTCTTCTGCCCATTTAAATAAACACCTAGGCCCCCTTTGGGAAGAATCTACGTCTGCTAGGTGTTTTAGAGAACAAATGGTACAATTCTCTCGTTTTACAGATGAGGATACAGGACCAGAAGAGGATACAGGTTGGGTAACTTGTCAGAGGCCACATAACTAGTTAGTAGACAAGTTGGAGCCTCACGCCAGTGTTCCTGCTTCTCCAGATCCAACTGCTTTCCATGTTACGCTGACTCATTCTTAATTGTGTGAGTTGGATGGAAACGACTGCTGAGCTCATCACATATGCCCCATATGCCCCGTTTTTCTGGGATCAAGTAAAAGAGTAACCCTACTATAATCTGATGGCGATGATCAAATTGTCCTATTTACTAGAAGACAGTGTCTATGGTATATAAATTTAAATTAGCACTGTTAATTTACACAAAAAAATACACACCACAAAACAAAACATTAATAATATTAACACATCTTCCAATGAATTCTATTCTTTTCCGTAAGGACAATACTTATAGCTTTGGCCTGGACTGCTAAAGAACAGACTCTCTCATCACTAGATTTCACAGAGTGAGAGGAAACATTATTGGATGATGGGAGAGGAGGCAGGAAAACCCACTGTTTCACTCACGTGTCAGATGCTCCCAAGGCCACTGCCACAATGCCTGCGAGGCCTCCTACCACACCAGGTAAGCCATGCAGGTTATGGACCCCACATGTATCGTGGATCCTCAGTTTAGTAGCAAAAACTGGCTGAAATGGTAAAAAAGAGTAAAGCTTATTTCATTAGATATATGGGACTCTATAATTGAAATAAAAGATCATGCAGGAAACATTTTATCTGCAGTCGCAGTCCACTTCTCCATCCATATCTAAAATCCACTTACAGTCCACTTCTCCATCCAGATCTAAAACCTACATAAGCCAAAGAATCTGAAAACAGTGGTGGCAAAACTGTTCCTATTAGTGTTTGGTGGATGGATTTGAAGGCAAGTGATTTGAGCTCCTACTCCTTCTTACTTACTGATCTTATCCTAAATCCCCTTTTAAAAAGCACAAAGTTCTTAATTATACAAAACAAACATCATCAACTCAAACATGTGCTTCTCCATCTCCATGTGAATTGCTTTCTTCCCCCTTTGAAGTCCAAACCACTATCCACTTCCCCCCTTAGTTCAAAATGACATATAAGCCTCAGCTGTCCCATTTGTCCTCAGATCACATAGTCGTGTGGATCCCCATCTGTACATACATCATCAAGTCTAGTTATTTTCTCTTGTTAACCTGTCTCATGTCAATTTAATTCCTAGGCCAGCCAGAAGAGCTCAGAGGGAAAAGAGGACAACGCTTTCCCTCCCACAGGGGTTCATATGACACTCACCATATCGAGCTTGCCTCGGTGCTCCACGAGGCTGGAGAAGGCGTAGGCTGTGAGCACGCAGGCAGCAAGAGAGAAGTATGTGTTTACCACGGCCCTGTATTCTTTGTCTCCGGCTTCAGCGATGGCCGAATTAAAGCTGGGCCAAAATATCCACAAGAAAAGAGTCCCTGAAGTAAACCACAAAAAGAGGTATTAGTTCTTAATATGAGAGACAATCCAGGGGAGGCGATTTGCCTTGGAGACAGATAATGTCTCACTGTTAGGCTTAGTTGTCTAAGAGTTAGGAGGAGAGTCAGCATACACAAGAGTAGTATTCAGAGGTCGTTCCTTCTTGAAGATCTTCACAGCTGTGTTGGAGTGAACCCTCCCTCGTGCCTGACCAAAGAGACAAGAACCGAGCAAGTTCACTACTCACCAATCATTGCAAACAAGTCCGAGTGGTACACAGACTCCTCATTGTCATGTCCCCGTCTCAGGCCTGGCCGATATAAGACGCCTGCTACAGCCAAGCCAAAGTAGGCCCCAAAGGCATGAATCGTCATCGATGCTCCAATATCAGTGGCCTGAAGGGGCAAAACGTTCATGCAGAAGGTGAATCTGAATCTCGCTACAGGAGGAAAGTCAATGAAATCATAAATCTGATCAGTGGTTAATATTCAGAATATATAAAGAACTCTTACAATTCAATGACAAAAAAAAAAATAGCCCAATCTAAAAACGGGCAAAGGACTTAAATGGCCCTTCTTTCTAAAGAAGATATACAAATAGCCAACAAGCATATTTAAAAAATGTGCAACAGCCCAGCAGGCCTGGCTCAGTGGTGGAGCATCGACCTATGAACCAGGAGGTCACGGTTCAATTCCCAGTCAGGGCACATGCCCGGTGTGTGGGCTTGATCCCCAGTGAGGGGTGTGCAGGAGGCATGCAGAAGGCAGCCGATTAATGATTCTCTCTCATGATTGATGTTTCTCTCTCTCCTTCACACTTTCTCTCTCTGAAATCAATAAAAATACATTTAAAAAAAAAAGCGTGAGTCTTTCCCATATTTTTTTCACTCTGCTATATGATGACATGAAAACCAGCCAGCCAGAGGTCCAAGATTCATTTGCATATGTGTTAGGTCCCTTTTAGCATAGTGTATGGAATTGATCCAGTTTTCTGCATTTCCTGCCCCTACAGGGAAAGTTCAGAGTACCAGAGGCATTGTTCTGTCCTTACGAAGACAGGAATATGATACTGTATTAATTTACTTAAGATTTTCCTACTCAGTAAACTCCTATGTGCCATTCAGGTCCAGCTTAACTGTCATTTCCTCAGAAAGCCTTCCCTTGTCTCCCCAGTCTAAATCAGGTCTTTCAGTTACATTCTCTCATGACCCCCTCTACTTATTTTTTCATCCTATGGATTATAATTTATAGTAATATTTGTGTGTGTGTTTGCATGCACACATGCACACATATGCACATGCCTGTGAGTGGGTCAGAGAATGTATGATTGTTTGTTTGATGTCTGTCTCCCCAATTATATTGTAAATTCTGTAATGACAGGGACCTTAACTATTTGGCTTATAGTGGAAGCACCAACACATGATACCTAGAAAGTTGTCAAAATAATTGCTGTTGAATTAAATGTTCAATAGAAGCATACACAGCCTGTTGAAGAGTGCCCAGAAATATCCTATTTCTAATTCTTGGGCTACTCAATGATATTTTTATGGAGAAGAAGAAATTTGACCTAGGCCTTAACAAAAGACTTAGGAAAGACTATTCACCTAGTAGTTGAGAAAGAAATAGGAATTGATCGTTGGTAGGAAATATAATGCAATAAGAAGAGTTTGGGAGTTAGAAAAATCTGGGTTTGAATTTAGATTCCAGCAAGTCATTTAGTATCTGTGCTCATGATTGCTTGTTTTTCTTCTTGTGTAAATATTAACAAAAATAACACCTACCTTATAGCATTGTGATGACAAAACGAGAAATGTCTACAAAACTCCTGATTCACAGTAAGCACTCAAATAAATGAGGACTGTTTTTACTATTTTCTGTGATATAACTCTTGCAAGGGTCTGTCCCTACATAGAGAGGGCATCCATTATGTGTTGTGACCACAAACCGTGTCCAACGTTAGGTCAGTATAAATCCGCTAACACGTACCATAAATATCTCAGCAACCAGATGTTCATTGCCAGCAAAGACAGCTATTTCTATGATTGTCATGATCAGCATTTGGAGTGGACTTATTTTCCCCAGGACAGCTCCAAAAGAAATCAGAACTGTGGCTGTGAAAGAGAAAGAATACATTAAAGAATAATGCAAATCCCAAATAAAACTGTGAGTTGTAATAAACTATAGCATCACCTTACCCAGAGTGCAAGGCTCTTCTCCATGCCAGTCCTTATCAGTCACTTGTCCCAGGCCTGCTCTTGGCCCCTCCCACTTCCTAACCCCGCCTCTCTTCCATTCACTGTACACTCCTTAGTCACTCTAGCATTTCCTTTATTTTAACCTACCTGATCTTTATCTCATTTAGGGTTTTACTTTATTTTTGTTGATCTGCTAAATGACCTATTTTCTAGAGTATTTGCATTTCAAAAATAAACTTAGAAAAATGACTAATGATAGATTTGTGTTCCCTGTAGCTGACATTAAAAAAATAATAATTTTATGCCCTTAAAGTCAGACCAGAGAAGACATAGACATTCATGTATGATCCAGCTCAGTAGAGCAAGACATAGATTTGCCTCCTTGGATCTCAACCATCTTCTATTGGTAAGGCAAACAATTTGCCTGCTAGCTCAGAGACTGGCTGTCAAGAGACTAAGCAGGGAAACAATTGCTCTGAAAACACAATGTTTGAAGAGTAAAAAAATACTTACTTTTTTATTCCAATGTGGATTTTATGTCCATGGCTGTGCAGGATCCCCTGCATAAGAGTGCCCCATTGGAGGCCCAGAGCAGCAATCAGTAGGTTGATGCCCACACTGCTGAAGCCATATTTCTTCAGGAAAGTCATGAGGAAGCCAAACCCAACAAATATCATAACATGCACATCTTGGAACACTGCAAAAAAGCAAAGGGGGGAAATCTGCATTAGGGGAGCACAAAGGAAGTGTTATATCATAGAATATCCCATTTATTTAATGTGACAGCCTTTGTGCAAGACACTGTAAAGGGAGAACATTAACTGGGCAGCCAAAGGCCGGGTTCCAATGGCAATCTTGAGACCCTGGGCAAGTTATTCAGTGTTTGAGCCTTTTCTTGGAACATTGTGTAGTATCATAGTGTGTTCTTCATCTTCTGCATGAAGAGTTTCCCTTTACCTTTCCCCTGAAGAAATCTTTACAAAGCACAGTGCAAGCATCACCCCACTCTTGGAGGTTTTCCCAGTACTACAAGGGAAAATTAATATTTTCTAGTCTTTCACACAGCTTTCTGTATATACTTCAGCTTTAGCATCAGTCACATTGTATTGGCATTTATTTAGCACATGTAACACTGTAACAGGTGGTCAATGAGGTGTCCTTCTGCACTATATAGCGATTTTCCTTATTGAAGAGATTAGGACATATTCACTCATTACTCCCCAGAGTTTGGTATAAAAGCCTGCATATAATAAAAAAGGCAATAATGGTTAAATGAATGAACTAGTCGCCAATATCAAATGTGTATAAATAATAGTATCAGCCCTGGAAATCTTACCAAATCACTATTTGAATCAAATGAGAGAATGTGTTTGTTAGCGATTTCTAAACTGATGTAAGGAAAGCTGTATCTTTCGGGGAAGCAAATACTGGACTTGGTATCTGGAGATTTAGGCTCCGGTTCCCAAATTCTATCACATGATTGTGTGACCTTGGGCAAATCATTTATTTTCTGTGGGCATCAGTGTTCTCATCTGCAATACTGAAAAGATCCTGTTCACAGAGTGACTATGAGTGGGATAATCCTCTGTGAGAGGGAGTATCAGTAATGCGCTATATAAATGAAACACATGACTAAATGGAGATTGTCAAAACACAGGCCTTTTCCTCCAGAAATTTACAGCTTAGTTGGTGAGACATATATTTGGTAGAACCACATGAAATTGACATTTTTGCCTTGAATTTACCAATGAAAGTTCGACTATTGGCGATTTCCTATGGTTCAACTTAATAGATACACAAAGCAAATTAAGACCAAAGTGGGAACAAATATAAAACCAGAGCTAAATTAAACATGTACGTGTTGAATTAATATTAACCACTGTGGCCTGATGTTTAAGTGCAAATAGGCATGAGGGAGGACATGCCTAGAAGCTGTATCTCAAAGGAACCTGACGTTAGGATCCAATTAATTTACCCAAAGGGTGGACACAGGATTTCAATTCAGGCCTGATGACACCTACTCCTCCATGCATGGAGCACTGTGGGGTGTAAGGATAGCCAAGGCAGAGTCGGCCTCGCCGGCACTCAGAGACCTTCTACTACCTCTTGCCTCTCTCTACCTCTGTTCTCCCATCAGGCTTAGCCCACGGTGAGCTTAGGGTGGGAGATGATGACCCTGGGGTCTGTCTCCTGCAGGAGAGGCTTTGATGCACTGGACAGATCCCCCACTTAGCACTGAAAGATCTATTTCTGCTCTAACTGGTTTGGCTCAGTGGATAGAGCACAGGCCTGCGGACTGAAAGGTCCCAGGTTCGATTCTCGTCAAGGGCATGTACCTTGGTTGTGGGCACATCCCCAGTGGGAGGTGTGCAGGAGGCAGCTGATCGATGTTTCTCTCTCATCGATGTTTCTAACTCTATCTCTCTCCCTTCCTCTTGGTAAAAAGTCAATAAAATATATTTTTAAAAAAAAGAAAAAAAGAAAGAAAGATCTATTCCTTCCTTTTCCCTCGCCGTAGGAAGTGCTGCTAGTTGATAGCCCTAAGCTCTCAATTCTCTTGTCAATGTCACAGTCCTTTCCTAGGGTAGCCTGTGCCCAATGACTAATTCACATGAGCATCGCCTGCCTCAGGAAAGGACCACATGTACATCTTTTGTTAGCTCATCCTAGTCTCAGAGTTTCCTGTTGGGATCAGCTGAAGCCGCACCTCTCTCTGCCCAAGCCCTTCTGCTACAGGTGTGGATCCTTAAGGCATTCCCTAAGAAACCTCTTTCAGGCTAACGTCTGTCTTTGAATCTGTTTCATGAGGAACCCAATCTGCAGCATCTTCCCTATGGGCTTCCCTCCCCACCCCAACTCCACAGAACGTTCCTGACCTTCTCCCCTACACAACTTGTATACCACATTTATTTGAAACGTTGCCAATTAAATCCGACAAACTAATCTGTGGCATTGATCACACCCAGATGTGGATGAAGAGCCTGGCTTTCCTAAGGTTCCCAACATTTAAAAAGGGCCCCTGGAGGCCTGGGAACTTAATATCAAGTATTACTCTATTGCAAATAACAGAATAGACATCATAGATTAAGTCACTAGGGTCCTTTGCTGGTCTCACAGCTAGTCTGTTTAGTATAAGTGCAGCAAATGTTCACATAAAGAGACTGAGAAACCGGGCCAGTCTTTCATGATCCAGGCACACTTTAGTGTCAGTCATGCTTTCGACCCCATGCACACATTGAGACTTTGGCCATTCCATTGTTCCTTGAAGCCCCCTCCCTGGAGAGACAGGATGAGGAAGGTGAGAAAGGAAACAATCGATCTCCAGGAATCATCCCTGGTCAGCAGCTTTGAGGAAAGACACAGAGGAGAATGCTGCAGTTTTTACCTGCTGCTGGACATCTGTTACCTAACATCAACTTGTTTGATTTTGAAGTGTGGGTGACCATATACACTCCTCTTTCTTTACAAGTTGTTTTTCCGCCATTTATTTTGTTTATGTAGACATTTAATATAGATCGTCAGCTAAGTTGGAGAACAAACTAAGTCTATATACTCTAGTACATGGCTTATTCTCTGGCTTTACTACGTCTTTCATGGACAGTTTTTCCTCCTTAAGGGAAGGTTTCCATTACATGAAGTCCAAAGTCCCTTTCAGCTCCACAATTTGTTTACAGCTACAGAGACAGAAGAAACATAAGGACCCAGTTCTATTGACTCCACTGCTGTTTTTCAATTATACAAAGTTATTTGCCTGAACATCCTTTGCTTTTTTATAAATTAGAGTACTCTTGTTCTTCCTGTGATTTACCCATTTTCTTTTATTTTTTAAATATTTTTATTGACTTCTGGAGAGTCAGGAAGGGAGAGGGACAGAGAGAGATAAACATCTACGTGAGAGCAGAACATGGATCAGCTGCCTCCTGCATGCTCCCCACCAGGGGATCAAGCCTGCAACTGGGGCATGCGTCCTGACTAAGAATCAGACCGGCAATCTTTTGGTGCACAGGTCGATGCTCAGCCAACTGAGTCACACAGGCCAGGGCATGATTTTAAAGCAGCCAGTGACCAACTATTGAAAAAATTGTTTTATATGATTTTGTAATGACTCACTGGTAGCAATAATTTTTCAGATTCTGTCCCCATTCCCCTTGATGGAAAACCAGACCTTTTCTATGGAGGAAGGAATTTCTCATATTAACTGTGCTCCAATATTTTCCCTCTCTGATTTAATTCTTGTTACTACTTTCTGCTCCAAGGGGCCTTAAGACCTCATCTATTTTGTTGCTAAAGAGAGCTAACAAAGTTGTGAAAGCTCTCGACAGATAATGATTCTATATAAAATATATGGATTAAAAGGTTTATAAATAATTATGATAATGTATTATCTTTCATTCTGCCATAAGATTCTATGGGTGGGGACTAGGAATAGGGCCACAAGTTTAGTTTTCTGGTGCAAGACTTCCATTAAAGGAATAAAGAACCTGCTTCGTAGAGGGAAAAAAAAGGAATTTCCTTAGTGGTTTGAATGTGAAGTCTTCTGACAGGTCTAAGAATCGCCAAGACACATCTACATCAGATATTGTCAATCGGAGGTGATTTTTGCCTCCAAAATAAATTTGGAAATGTCTGGTGTTTCTGTTCTACTTTACTTCCACGTTTGTTTTGCAATAGGATATCTTACAAGCCCTGATAACTCAACATGTTTAAAATGCAACTGATTATTCCAACTCACCTCTGCCATCACTGACAGCCAGACAAAATGAAATGGAACCCTTCTTTTCCTCTATTTCCTGTGTATGCCTGCTGCCTACAATATCCTCTCCATCCCACACCCAACGCTTCTTTACCTGGCCAACCAGATGCTCTACACAGTACTACCAGACCCGGCTGTAACACTGTGCATGTCCTCTTGGTGTATGTCATTTGTTTATGCGTTTACCTGTTTTGTTACTCTGTGTGCTCACCTATCATTTATTCAGATAGACAACTGAGCCAGCACTGCCAGTTAGGCACTCTTTCAGGAGAAAGTGAGTGCAAGTCTGAAGGTCAAAATCATGAGGTGCTTGCCCATGATAGACCCCGCAGAAAGTCTGGCAAGTGTAGCTTTTCAGGAAATGCCTGCTATGTGTGAATACATGGACCACTGGTGAGAGTCACTGAGAATTCATCTAATTGGGACTATAGGACTTTATTCAGAAACTTGAGGCCCAGTGCAGGGTGGGTCCCTCAGCCTGACCTGCACCCTCTCCGATCTGGGAGCCCTCAAGTGAGCCCTCTCCAGTCTGGGAGCCCTGACGGCTTAGGCCCACTCCTCATAGTTCTCTGCTCTCTGCAGGGCCTGGCCGCTCCGAGCCCACTGCCCAGAGGCTCTCAGCAGCCCAGAGGCCCTCCACAGCCGGGGTGGGATGCTTGTCTCATTGCCGCGGCAACGAAGTAAGTATTCTGCCAGGCCGCTCACTCTGCCTGCTCTCAGCGGCCACCCCAACATGACTGGGGGACTCCGGCAAGGCTGAGGGGACTGGGCACCGCCATCTTGTGGCTATGGGCACCCTCTCTTTGTGATGGAGTGATGGTTAATTTGCATATAACCCTTTTATTAGATAGGATATTGTTTTTCTGAATCAAGTGTTAAAAACTACCCAGCTCACTTTCTAGTTAGGCATTTGTTAGCTTTCTTGTTTTATTTTGTTTTTCAGT